CTGCAGTTGAACAGCATTCAGGAGCAGGTGTGCTGAAGGCGGACGAGGTCACTGCTTCTCTGCAACTGGACTTTCTCCCCAGTGTGACCAATTTGCTCTGACCTGAGAGGACCATTTTTTAAAAATAGAGGGATCCCTGGTGGAAGAGAGAATCCTCCACTTCAATCGGAAATCTACAGCCTCCTTGAGGGAGAGTCAGAAAAACACAGCACACGTTGTATCTGGAGTAGAGGTTGGGTCAAACTGAAAGCCAGAGACAGAAAGCTGGTCCCTGGTGCAGGGGTCTCAACCAAGATTTTTTTTAAACATGCAGAGCAAAAATTGCCTTCCTGAGACTCTACACCCCATCCTCACTCTCACTTCCCCTCCAACTATAGACACCCAGCCTCTGAATTGGTAAGATAAAGATTTTTTTCCTTAATTTTTATTCAGGATTCCAAATTAATTTTGAAAAGGAAGGTCTTGATGGAGCTCAAGGAAACCAGGAAGAAACCATAAGAATCAGTGCAGATTATTTGGGGGCATCTACTAAGCCGAGATAAGCTTGTCCTTATTCAAGAATGAGTAACCAGAAGATGAAGAAGAAGAAAAAAACCACTTTTAAGTCTATGATGGGATTCTGAAACACAAAAGAAGTCAAACGAAGCATGAAAAGATCAGGTGAAGAGTGTTAGCTGAAGAATGATGAGGTTTATAAATTTGGAAAGAAGAACTTTATTTCTCATAAAAGGTCGCAGCCTGCAGGGTGGCTATTGTTATGGGCTGGAAAGCATAGCCTCAGCCGAAGCTGGGACGGGGCAAAAGGAATAGGAATTTATAGGAACAAGATGGACAAATATACATATTCAATAAGCTATAGGAGGAGTTGTTAATATTTATGAGAGGAGAAATGTGCACATACTCAGTGGAGTTCATGTACAAAAATGGATGCATTAGCATCATCTGAGGGTGGCGTTTTCAGTCCTTCAATATCAAATGGTGAAGCAAAGGACACAAAAACCCTTACTGCACATTCTCCATAGACTGGCCAGAATCACTTTGTGGTTGGTGGTCTCTTATCAGGCAGAAAAGGAGGGGCAGTGTCAGCTGATTGGTTGATAACAGTGGTGGACTCTTGAAAGCGCTGGTTTCTGTTCAGCCCTTAGAGAAGAAAGCCTCTTCCAGGTTAGCAAGGGAGGAGGTGCAGTGAGGCGTGTCTGACCTCCCATCCTCTCATGGTAGAGAACTCAGTTTTCAAGGTTACTCTGGGGTTCTGTTGGCCAAGGGATGGTCTATTCAGTCCATTGAAGAGCTTAAAAGTTTATTTTTATTTCTCAAGAGTATACTTCTAAAGATTTACTCAAGGAACCAGAAGTGAATTTTTAGGTAGAAAATGCTTTGGCTTCTCAGAGAAATTAAGGAAAACATGGTACAACTTTAAAAAAAGACGATAACACAGAGGCCTGAGAAAAAGTGATAGCAGGCAGAGCTGAGATAAAGTTTTAAAAAGCAGAACCAATGCAGAATTTTCAATGGTATTCATAGAAAACACAACCTACATTGCAGAAAATTAAAGTACTGATAAATACTGTCTGGAAAGCAGTCACTTAGATTTCACAGGAATGAATATAAAGAGATATGAGAACATCCGAGAAAAGATGATAAACATAAAAACAGTAAAAATATAGAAATAATTTTCTTTTCTAAAAATATTAGAATAAATGAAATGAAAATATGGAAAGCTATAGTAGAAGCCCAGCCCTCAATCTGATAAAAGAATCCTGTGGTTTAAAAGAAGGCTCTTCGTATCAGGTAAATTTTACAGTAATCAGTTGACATCTAAACAAAACTTAGGAAAATCAGTGAATATATAGGATCAAGAAAAATAAAGGTTCATACAAACACCTACACGTAAAAAAGAACACCTGCGTATCATCAAAGTGAAAAAACCAACCAGACACATCATGTAGAACATCAGATACCAGAAGACAATAGATCAATATGCAGTTTTGAGAAGAAAAGATTAGCATCTGAATAACTTACATTCATTCAAGTTACAGTTCCTGTACCTGCAAAGACTCCAGAAGAAAACTTCAACGTCTGGGCTAAAAATTCAGCCCAAAAATAAATAATAAATACTCACAATTGGCGTAATTGATGAAGAAGCAGTGTTGAACACAAAAATCATGTAGATTACCTTTAAAAATAAATTTACTGATAGAATACACTCACATATTTCTTTTGTAAAACAAGGTGAATAACATTGCATTTATAAGAATGTAACAATAAGTATTTGGCACAAAGACTTCAGAATTTATAATAGTCGAAAATGAGAGGTGAGTGTATGGGGAAGAGATATTTAAGTATGCTACTTTCTTCATCTTAACTAGTCAAGCAATAATAGATGTATTTCATTCCTGGCATTAATAACTGGAGTCATTTAGATTAGTAGATTATACAGGGATCTTCATTTTCTTTTGTACCACTATTTTCTTTCTTTGCTGAGGATAATCAAGTAATTGACTTTTGAGTTTGCCTTCTAGAATATAGTTTGTTCCAGGCCAAGAATAAATTTCAGCCATGAAACCTGAAATCAGTTTCTCGAGAAGTGTGAATTCTTGATGCACAGTGAAGCATAATCCATGATTATTGCCAAAAGATGTGCTTTATTATCATTACCACTAATTTGTAAGGCATAAAAAATGCAAGTATTTTTGAGATTTCCTAAGTATTCTTCAAATGACTTGCTGAAAAAGATTAACGTTAATCTAGCCAACTAGAAGATAAGAAAAAGAAAAGAAATGAATGCAGGAGTGTTAAATATGTAAATTATGTGTATGCCTTTAATAGAAATTCATCTCTAATCTTGTTCAAAAATGCCTTTCAGAATGTCAGATAAAACTCTCTCATTTGACCCCTCTCCCATTTTTGCCCCTCTCCATTTTGCCTAGCTATAGAACTTAGAGAAAGTAGCTATGAAACACCAGGGATAACCCGCTGCAGTTTCTAGCTTTTGTCTTTGAACTCTTACATATTAAGGTCAGGCAGTAGGCACAGTAAAGGTGCCCAGAGAAATTCAGGTGGTCATGCAAACTCCAAACCAGGAGTTTGGAGTGGAATACTCCACATTCGCCCACACACACTTACACCTGAACAGAGACTTAATTCGCATTACCAGATATGTCCTGGAGTATCTTAAATGTTCCATAGGGCAGCTGATCTTGTTGCTTTACGTAATGGCCTTTAGAGGCACACTGTTGCTGACAAGCAACCTTACCAGAGTTCAGAGCAAGAAATACTCTTCCTGAGTAATAGGAGGGGAATAACCATAAAACACTACACTTGGCACTTTACTCCACCTATAGCCAATGCCAGAAGAAGAGAAGTAAATTGGAAGAGGAAAGAAAAGTGGAGTATCACTTGAAATAATAATAGACCCTGCTTAATGAATAAACATGAAGCTCAGAGATGTTAACTTGTCCAGGTCAACATATGAAGTGATAACACCAGGATTTCAATCCAAGTCTGATTCCAAAGCCTAGCACTTAGCACTATAATATTCTACCTCTTAAATTTGCTAGGGATTAAAATTGGAATTTAAAAACAAGTAAAAAAAAATATGATTTTCATACTCTACTAATAATTCCTGGAAAGGAAGAAATTTTCAAAATATGGAAATAGGGTTTATATTTGACTTAGGCCCTTCAAAGTGGAAATCATCTGGTTTGGACCTGCTTTGAAATTGCAGAATGGACATTTGAAATGTTTTGGGTTTAACTCCATTGATTAATTGAAACTACATGCACATCATTAAATAAGGTTTGGAATCAGCAGTTCTCTAATTACATTAAGGCATACAAATCAGGTAAGAGAAATTTTGCTGAGTTTGGTTTTAAGTAACTTTATTACCTACTGTATTAATCAGCTTAACCAAATTACCATGAACTTACTACTTGCTTTTGTGATAAACAGATAGCTGGACATAATCCGTGATTTACCTCCTGGACCCTACACAGCATTTTTCATTTCTTATATCTAATTAGGCACCAAGTCATATTCCTTTTACTTCCATATACATAGAAAATACGTGTTTTCATATGACATCCACAATCCTCTGTCTCCTAAGCTATAGTAATATCCTCCTAATTACACTCCTGGTAATTGCTCGTGCATTACTTCTAGTCTATTTTTTATACATCAAGGTAATGGTTTTATAAAGAAAATGTGATCATGTGATCATGCTTAAAGCATATTACACTCCTTAAGGAAAAAGAAAATCCAAATCTGTTTATTAGCCCCTCCTCATTTCCCAGCTAACACTCACCTTTCAGGTCTCGGGTTTCCTCTGGGAAGCCTTTCCTCTCTGGCAGTTAAGTTCCTACCAGACATTCCCAAACGTGCTGCTTTCTACATTGAAGCTGATCCTTGTTACACTGATGACTGCTTATTCAATGTTTGTCTTCCTGACCAGACTATAAGCTCCAAGAAGGCAGGGGTCTCTTTAGTCTTGTTACTGCTCTGTTTTCAGCCCTTCAGGCAATTCTTAGTGCTCAATAAATATTTGTTGATTTGATTGATTTAATTATGTATATACTTACAGCTTATACAAATCTGAGAATAAGCAGTGAGTAGTTATTATCTGGTATTCTCATTTAAAGATCAGAGGGGTCTTTGAGCTTTATTTTTTACAAATAATGGTCAGTTTTATTGCTGGTTAACAAGGCATGAAGTACTATAAAAATCAAGGCTGTAGGTAAATGCCCTTTAAAGCTGTTGAAATTCCAAGTAATCTACACAGTTTTTATTCAAGTGACCAAAGCACTTTCAACCACCTCAGGAAAAATCTACCTATGCCAACAATTAGATTAAAATGAGCCATTTCCAGAGTGTTAAGTTTCTGCATGCTCTAAATTCTGCCAGGAATTGATCATTCCAACAGAACTATTTGTCCTGAAGAGAAGCATGGATACTCCGATAATGTGCTTAGAACAGATTGTGGAAAAACAAATAAACATCCAGGTCACGGCCCTCACTTTTTCCATTCAGGTTATTTATGTGCCAATGTTTCAACTACAAGTTTTATGAATTTGTAAATTTATTTGGCAATTGCCACCACAATTTCTTTTGAAAACACGTTAATTGTACCATGAATAAGAAAGACAGGCCAGGCCATTGGCTCATGCCTGTAATCCCAACACTTCGAGAGGCTGAGGCAGGAGGATTCCTTAAGGCCAAAAGTACACCACCAGCCTGGGCAACTTAGCGAGACCTTGACTCTACAAAAAACAAAAAAATACATGTTAGAATCCTCACATTTCCCTTGATAAAGAATGAGAACTGGGAAGAAACATAGAATGAAATAACTATCCAATCTAATTCTGATTATTGAAGGTTGGTGAAGAGAAACATTAATGCAGAAAAAACTGGAGAATTCACATACCTGTTTTGGGGTGGCACCATACCACCCTAACCCTTTAGTAGGTGGCCTTAGTCAAGGCTTCATGGCCCGTCCACATACTGAAGTCATGAGCATCACCTGATCTTGTTATAAAGCTGAGAGGAGGGCTTCTTCCTCCAGCGGCCGGCTGGATTTGGTTCTGGTCAGTGATCCTTTAGGTTAAAGCAAACATGTATTGAATGTGTTCTATGTACCAGATATACTCACAAGTGTATTGATATTGATACCCCAAACAACCTTAAATTATATGTCAGCTATATCTCAGAAACAGGCCAAGTGATAGTTTCCAGGTGACAGAGAAATTGAGAGAGAGCCAGGGTTGGCACCCCAGCCTTTAGACTCCCCTGAACTATGACCACTCTGGGTCTGACCTCAGCTGTCAGCATTTCATAGAGCCCTGGAGCAGTAGTGTTCTTCAAGAATGGTCTGGAAGCCTGCCAGGATTTATCACAGAGGTGATATTCAGTGAGCAGGAGTCTTGGCAGCAGGGAGGCTCTTATATATCCCACACTGAAGAAGAGATAGAACTTTCTCTGCCCATGGTTCTGGAGCTCCCACAGGGCTTTTATGTTTCACCAGGTTCCAGGGACCAGAAACCAGCTCTTTCCACTGGCTCTGCTGGGCAGGGCCTCTGACTGCAGGCTCCCCCTTGGGCATGGCTTAACGAGACTCTTTCCTGTATACCCTCTCCCTGAGAAAAACCTAAACGTATAAGGAGAGCATTTTTCCAGTACACCTGAGCCAACCCCTGCCTTAGCAAAAATGTGAAAATAGGAAAAATGGGTTTCTTTTCCATAATCAAGATTTCTTACAACTGTACTTCCCCAAAATTCTGAGAGTTATGGGTGTAGGACTCAGGAGTAGGTATTAAGAGGCTTAATAATCAAATTTCTGATGAGCTTCATAGCAGGAACATTGCCTCACTTACCTTTTCATTTCTTATCCTGCAAAGTAACTATTGAGAACTTTTGAATTGCATCAATAAACAAACACCTGAATGTTAGGATGCTTGTTTTAGAATTAATGACAGATAAATTGAGCAGATAGATGAGGAAAGCCCCGGAGAACAGATTATGATTTGGTTTTGCTTCATTTTGTCTTTCTCTCCATCCATTTTTCTTTGCATTAAAATGGCATGGTGTTTAACCTATAGATTACACCAGCCCCTCAGATATCATTACAAAGTTTTCCCCTCAGTCCCTCTCTTCACTCACATCCAATAGTCCTCAAATCTGTGTCATTATGTATTTGAAAGACAGCAAGACCCCAGGATTACACAACTAGTTAGAGAGTCATTCTTTACAGAAATTCAGAGTACAGGTGAAGAGGCAGGGCAGAAGAACAACTGGTACAAATGAGGAAATCCCAGGAAAAAAGAACAGAAAACTACAGAAAGAAAAGGGAGTTTCTTCTGTGTTGTTAATGAGTTGTTACAAAATTCATTTTGTCAAATATGTGTTATTAAGCTCTTTTACTCTATATGCACGTAGCTGTCATGGAAAATTAACTACTTATATGTAGTGAGTAATGAAAAATACTTCTTGGTTCCTTACATTTGTGCCAGCTGGAGAAGTAGAAGTGACCCAGCATAGCCCTGAATGAAAAAGAAGAAATAAAGGATCTAAACATTTCGACTCTTGCTAGACTACTGTCAGGATCAAATAGCCTCCCCTAAGTCACGTCTTGGCTTTACTTTTAAAGACTTTTGCTTCACTAGTCCTACATTCATGTCTTAGAGAAAATCTTAAGGAGTTAGGTAATTTTATTTCCTGTGTTGTTAAGTGCTTATTTAAAATACCTGTGGACCTTGCTGGCTACTTCTGGAAAGCCTAGATTTCCCCCAAAGAAAATATGACATGAAACCGCATAGTTTAATGGATCTTTTTCCAATACTCTTTCAGCTTTTTTCTTTTTAATACTTTCAGTTGGTACTATTTAGCTAATTCTATTAGGCTACTTTTGAGCCCTGTTTGTTCAGGGTGACTCTCATAGAATTAAGGCCACTATTGCACAACTGCAGAGGGTGCCATGCATTTGGAAGATTCCTGATCTCCAGGCTGTGGAGTCAATGAATTTCTTTATGGTTTTATACAATTCTCCACAAATTGTTTACAGGACCTCCTTCCCCAAAGTTTCATTGGAATGTGGTTCTTAAACTATCAACCTAAATAACTACTAGAAAACCTCAGCAACTTTATATTTTCATTTGCATACAGATAAAGAAGCAGCTTGGTGTTCGAGGCTCTTCTGGGCCTCCTAACTCTCTGACTCACATAAGGAGCATTGGCCATCAGTAGGAGGGAAAACATATTCTATGAGAACTACAAAAACATTGCCACTGTTCTAGGAATAGTTCCTGGGAGGAAGCCTTTGACAGGTTATCCCCAAATTGGGCATTCTTCTGTGTATTCTTCTGTACTTGGTAGTCCTGGAGAGTACCAGTGTGGATGAGCTCATATCATCTATTCAGCTCGAAGGACAGCAGCTCAGTCAGGGACCCAGGCAGACATCCAGATATTACAGGACTGGTAGACTCTTCTTGTAAACCTTTTAGGCACAAAGAGGAAATATAGTCCCTTATAATTGTTGTGACTCTAGAAAATAAGACTGATACAGAGCTTTAAATTTGCCTATCCAAAGGAAATTTAAACATTTAAAAATCACAAAGTTTTATGAGTAGCAATAGATTCTTACTGTAAAACTGTACCTGCGTAATGAGACATGCCAGGACATGAACCACTGTGAAATAATTCAAATATCTCCGTGCTCAACTCTAATGGAAAGAATGTATGTGACATGAATACAGCTCTATTGTATAAATATATAGGTATGAAACCCTTAAAAACATGTGTTGTAAAAAATGCTGTATACACCTAACTGAAATTTTTTAGGTGTATAAGAGTAATAATAAATATTTCTTATGTTCTACACCTCTCCACCCCACCATACTCTCAAAAAAACAAAGCCTGTTTAGATTTGTGCTTTTATCTGCATCAAAATTTTCCTTATTTAACACGTGTTCATATACGTTGGTATCATATATTCTTTTGTATGTCTTTTCATCAAGTGGTATTTCAAAAACTACTGCTATTTGCATGGAAATAAGTGAATGCAGTTATTATCAGATTGCAAACAAGTGATTACCTGGTTTTGGCACAAGAAGGTACAGATACAGTGTGATCCACCACGTTAGAAAATGTCACATTTTACTCTCCTGATGTTTACTTTTTAATTACTTGAAGAGGTTTAAACAATTAATTTGCTGATAAAAATAAGGCTGCTTAGATACTGTCATTTTGACTAAGAAAACAAATTATCTGCCAACTAGAAAACTCAAAGCCCCACCCAACAGTAATCATCACTTTGTAGCTTGACACAGTGTTTTACTGGAAAGATGAGATGATTGTCTACTGCAGGGAATAACCTTTTTGAAATGTGAACTTCATAAGGTTTTATCAACAGAGATTCAACCATTTCAGCAACACATGATTCAAAGGAAGTCGGGTAAGGCTATTAAACCAAGTACACTTCTGTCAATTGCAATGGTAAACGTTTGGCGAATGGGGAAAAGAGAAATGGCCATTGACAGCTCTTCAACTCCAATTCTGGATGGAAACTTGTAATCAATTTATAATGGAGGAACTGGCAATGGAGATAGTTCTCCCAATCCACATGACAAAACACAAAATCCAGTAGAACAGCTTTTGAAGGCTCTTAGAAATAACAAGTTTTTCTGGGGATGTTTTCTTAAAATCAGGGAATGGGAAACTGGTTAGCATCCTCACAGTTGACTTTGGCAAGCTGAGGAGCCCTACCTTGTCAGGGAGCTTCACCCTTGCCTGCCTGTGCAGGCAACCGCTGACTTCAGTGAGGAAATAGATAATGCCTGCAGCAGGGGAAGAACCAGCTATTCAGTCTTTCTCTCTTCATCCTTATTTCCACTCCCTTCTCCTTTCTCAACTTTCCCTACTGCCAATAAAAGCATGTGCATGAGGCAACAGTAAAGTACCTCAACGACTGAGGTAGGAATGGCAGTGGTGGGTATGGATGTCAGAGGGGAAAAAATTATATAATATCGCTGTTTTAGAGTCTTGATGTTTCCCCTTCCACTAAAACGATTCAGAATAAAGCATTTGCTTTAATCCCTAAGCAAAGGAGATAATTGCTGTAATACGGAAAGTACCCAAATCCATCCAAACGATCCCTTCCTGGGTCCCAAAAAGAGCATTTTAGTGACTTTGTGAGTTGTCTGCATGCGAGCTTGCATCTGTTAGCCCTTCTCTTAAGTTTAGCTGAGGAATTTAGGATTTATAACTAAATTTCAGAAGTTTGGGTCTTCACTTTCTCTCTACCTTTTTGACACACTCTTGTGTTATTTTTGTTATGGTTACTTAAGACTTCCTAAGCATTAGCAGTAGCAGACTGAGAACTATGCCAGGCTCTTCTGCTCTTCCACAGCTGACCTGCTCAGCACATTATGCATTTATTGGATTAGAGTTTGAGTACATTCTTTTGCCTTTAAGGGATCGATCACTTATGGTGTAAAAGAGATTTTAGACATTCGTCCAACTCTATGATTCCATGCCAGGTGATATTGATTCTTCATTTGAAAATTAAATAATTCCATAATGAGCTCCATTACAGGAAGATACTAACAGAGACAAATTTGTGAAATTAAGAGGGACAAAAAGGGGTTATATGAATGACCTACAACTCCAAAGACACTAAGTGGTAGAGGCAGGAATTGATGCTGGATCTCTGTTTTGTTATCCAGGTCATGTATTTGCATTTAACTAATATTCTTGGAATCAAAATTCATTAACATTAAAGAAAGTTTCTAATAATGGAATGGCAGGTCTGAGAGACACATGCGGCTAGCAGGGGATTTTTCTGAAATCCCTGAAGACCTATAACAAGCTAGCAGCCCACTCTGTTTCACTAAAGGATTCAACGCTGCCCTGCAGCCCTGCTTTGCAAGCATGTGGTGGAAATTTAGGCCTTTTTGTCTGCAGTGTTACCTGACTCATCAAAGGAAACGACTTGGTCAACAGATGTCTAAGAATTCACCTTGATGACCAGAGCTCCCTATTGTTTTGCAAATCTCATCTCAACTAGAATGTTGGGGAAGAGTTTATTGCCGTATTTCCTGTGGCACTTCTGAGTCAGCAAAAATCTTGGAACATTAGGTGCAGCCTACTTTCTCCAAACATTGTTTTAGGTTGATTACTAATGGGATTACAATGGTTACCTTTCCTTTCACAAGTGCACCCTATGTTACACCTATGTAAATACCTTCAAACAATCATGCTAATAACATTTTTTAACATTTGAGTCATATTTTAAATGCTTTAGGTAATTTCACTGTTTAAGAGAGTCTCTACTGAAAACCTCTTTCCAAGAAGGAAATGGTTTCCTGATTCGTCAGTTTTGCCAATTATGTTTTCATATGTTGTATTTTTGTTAAGGAGGATAAAAATTATTTGGAGAAAGGTTCTATGCATACTCTAGATCTCATTGTGGTGATGACTTCAAGATACACATTTCTTATGTTGAACTAGAAAGATTTCTTCGGTAACAATTTGTATGAAAGGGTTTTCTGGTCTTGCCTTTTGTTACTCTAAACAAGAAAAAGTAAGAAGATTGGTAGCTACTAGTGTAACTACAGACACTTTGCAAAACTAAAAGTGATTAGTCAGCGTGGCATCAGCAAAAGGCAGAGGAAATTAGGGACTGGAATGCAGGGCTGTGGCTGGAAGACAGAAGGATGGTAATGGGGAGGGATTGGAGGGATTTTCACAATGCGAAATCAGGTGAAGTCCATGGATGTATGTGAGTGAAAGCCACAAATAAGGCTGAAAAAACCTTTTTCCATCCCCAAACTAACCACCCCCTTTTCTGTAAGTGTATTTCTGTCAATCAAAGAATGTTCTTCCAACACCCAAGCTTGCAACCTTGACTCATCTTTGAGTCAGAGATGCCGGGAACTTCAGAGCTGGGTAAAGTCTTAAAGGATACCTAATCTGATTCTTTACCTTGCAGACAAGGCCATGCAGTTTCAAGAAATCCTGCTTTCTGCAAATTCCCATTGCAAACAGAACCAGGCCTGACACTCAGTCCCAGAAATTCATATCAAGTCTTCCTTTCACTGCTCAACCTGGTTCTTCCCTTTTCTTCATAAGTTATTCAGTCGGACGCCAATTCTGCAGACTCTTCTTCAGGACCGTCTCTGATGTCAATCCCTTTCCATTACCACCACCCTGATCTAGGCTGTACTCTGAAATGACTTCCTCAAAATGCTCCATGCTGCTAGGCTTTCTGCTTCAGTTCCCCATAGATACTTTAATCTTCCTGAGACACTAATTTCATGATATTTCTTAAGAGACCCCTATTTAAATTCTACTGTCTTGGGACGACGAAACGTGTTCATGTTTTGGACTCAGATAAACTTAGGTTCAAATGCCTTATCTAAACTTGGATAGGTTACTTAACCTCTCTGAAATTCACTTTCCTCATCAGTAAAATGAGAACAATGATGTTAAATTTAAAAATAAAACTGGAGACTATAGTGCAAATGGAATGACTTCATTTATGTTAAATTGCTTAGCAGATAAAAGGTGTTCAAAACATGTAAATTTTCTTCCTGGAATTCATACTCTTCTGCAGTTTGGCTCCTACCTACCTTCCAGTCTTGTCTTTTACTATGTCACCAGACAAGTTTTTTGCCTCAGCCAGAATGGTGTATTCATTGCCTCCTAAACACACTGTTCTCAGTTTTAGCTGCTGGAGTTTTTCCTGCTTCCTGAAGATGTCCAACCCTTTTTTATTGTTTGTATTATACAAAGCTTTCTGATTTATCACAGCCTGTGTTTTTTCGATTCTCACTTTTCCCCTCTGGAAAAAAAAAAAAAGATTGTTCAAACAGGACACATGGGAAAGAGTCTAAAGTCTTCAATGCTGAGCTCCCAAACATGCTTCTCTGTTCTGGCAGAAGACTGTGGGGTCACATGGGTTTCAGATGGGACCATGTCACCTTCTCTCTGCCAGCGATCCCAATGCTCACTCCCTAATCCCAACAGTCACTCATCCTCACCCTAGCCACCCTTCCTGTGTGGCAATGTGTGGTTTCTGTAGCTTTCATCCCCAGCGTGGCCCTTGGCACTCCTTCCTTACTCTGTTTCCTTCTCATTGTCATGTATACTGACAATAAATAATCCTGGGGAAATTTGGAGCCCACAGATGATGTGTGAATATAACTCCATGCTCCTCATATCTTGATCTTTTCAGTTCTAGATATATCAATCTAATGAGAGGGAAAGATGGCTGCGGCTACAGTGATACAACCCTCAATGTTCTATGAATGTCTCACCATCCTCTTTCTGAAGACAGTAGTGTGAAAGGAAAATAAATCTCAGGACCCCAAAGTCACTCAGCCCAGAGAAAAATCAAGCTGGACACTATGTCAGGCAAACCTACCTCCTATTTTATTCCTAAATAAGATAGCTATGAAGATGAGAAGCTACATACCTCCCTCACCATTTGTCCACAGGAAATTCTTTGTGGACAAAAGACAGACAGAACTCAAAATCCTCCCTCTGTAGCTCACCTGAGACAAATGCTCATGTGATTGCTTCCTCTGCTCTATTGTTTATGTGAAAATGCAGATTCACTGAGCCAAACTAAATTGTGTATTAAGTGGAAGGCTGATCAAGGACTCAAAAGAATGCAACCTTTTGTCTCTTATCTACTTCTAGCCTGGAAGCCCCCACTTCCAGTTGACCTGCCTTACCCAACCAAACCCATGTACATCTTACACATATTGATTGATGTCTCATATCTCCCTAAAACATATAAAAACACTGTACTCCGGTGGCTCAAGCCTGTAATCCCAGCACTTTGGGAGGCTTAGGCGGGTGGATCACGAGGTCAACAAATGGAGACCATCCTGGTCAACATGGTGAAACCCCATTTCTACTAAAAATACAAAAAATTAGCTGGGCATGGTGGCGCTTGCCTGTAATCCCAGCCACTCGGGAGGATGAGGCAGGAGAATTGCCTGAACCCAGGAGGCAGAGGTTGGAGTGAGCCGAGATCACGCCATTGCACTCCAGCCTGGGTAACAAGAGCGAAACTCTGTCTCAAAAAACAAACAAACAAAAAAATACTACTCCAGACCACCTTGGGTGCATATCGTCAGGACTTCCTGAGGCTGTGTCGCAGCTGCATCCTTAACTTTGGCAAAATGAATTTTCTGAATTGAGACCTGTCTCAGATATTTGGGGTTGTTACACCTCTTTTGTTGGGCTGCTTTCTCAGTTTGTCATAAATCCTGCTCCTTTCCTCCCACGATTGTAAAATCTGTGCCTGAGCGCTTATGCGTTTCTAGCTCTGCTAAATCGTTCCATGCAAATACCAAGATTACTGAGGAGGGCCAGGTGCAGTGGCTCACGCTGTAATCCCAGCACTCTGGGAGGCCTAGGTGGGTGGATCATGAGGTCAGGAGTTTGAGACCAACCTGGCCAACATAGTGAAATCCCATCTCTACTAAAAATATTTTTAAAAGTAGCTGCGTGTGGTGGTAGGTACCTGTAATTCAAGCTACTTGGGAGGCTGAGGCAAGGACAATCCCTTGAACATGGAAGGCAGAGGTTGCAATGAGCCGAGATCAAGGCACTGCACTCCAGCCTAGGAGACAGTGCAAGTCTTGGTCAAAAAAAAAAAGAAAAAAAAAGATTGCTGAGCTGGTAGAAGATAGTTTTCTTCTATTGCAGGATAAGTTCTCAGCAAAACTGGGGCCCCACCCTGGAAACTAGAAAGTCCCCTTGGCCCTTCTTCTTCACCACCCGCCCCCTTAGGCAAGTTACTTAAGCTCACTATGCTTCCAATAATAGTTCTCAAGTCATAAAGTTTTCCCCGTCTCAATTAAGTGAGTTAATCCACCAAAAGCCCTTCACACCATATATAAATGTGTCCATTGCACTCGGAAGCATGGTGCTTTGTTGAGGGAAAAAAATTGAGCCTAACATGGGGATGGGGCTGGATCTGCTCAGAGGGAGAGGCACCTTTCAAAAATCTGGTACTATTGCTTGTCAAGCCCTACACCCACCACCTAGAGAGCTTTTTTCCAAGATACATGGAGGCTCCTGCGGGCCAGTAAGGCCATGCTAGGACATGGTCAGTGTTTGATAAATTCTGGTTATTTTAACTGTTATTACTGAGTCCAAACAGTGACTTCCTTGAAGAGTCTGTTTCAGAAAAAATACTGAAATAGCAAGTCGTCAGGGCTTTAAGTTGTTGGAAACATCCAGCAGACAACCAAAGAGAAGTACATTGTAATCTAACCAAATAGTCTCTCATGGATCCTATTTTTATTGCCAATAAACTAGCTAGAAATGAGTCCTTGCTATGGTTGTCTTTATTCAAGCTTTTAAAACAAGAATCTTCCTTTAAAGATAATCTATTCCTTATTTTAATTTTAAAACATCATATCTCTGACTTACTCATCTGCCAGTTTAGATAACTGGCTCTAAGTCATATAGGCATCTCAGAGTAACAATCGGGCATAGAACACATTTATTTTAGGCAAATGAGAAATAGTATGGTGTTTTATACAAAGAGGAACAAGAAAAAAAATACTTCCCTCTCACTGTAAATGCTGTACAATGGAATTCTCACACATGACATCATCAGTTTCTGGTTTCACAATGTAGAGTCCATAGCTGATAGAGCCAGTCAGAGGAGAATGAGGAGCGGATGCAACCAGTATCAGACCATGCAACTTCTTTAGCATATAAAATTGTAAACCTCTGGAGAACTGTTACTTTTTAAATAGCCACTTGAAATAAGCTCTTCGAAAATTCTAGAATCTTTTTGTGAAAACAAAGAGGTAATTAAAGTGGTAGGTTTAAGAAAAGCAAGGCACTTCAGAGTCATCTAATTTATAATATGTGATTATAACAGAAATATAGAATCGTATGTTCTCTTCCAAGACTTTGTTTTAGCTTCAAGGAAATTAGACAGTCATCAAACAGGTTTAAAGAAACGCCTAATGCCTATTGATGAACATTTCTAAGTAAATTGTTCCACTTCCAAAGTCCCGAAGAAAGGAGATAGAATATTTCACTTTCGAAAAGCAGTTTAAAACATTTAGTTAAACATATGCATTAAGACTGAAGGATTTTGAGAGACATCATTAAGGAAGTACAAAGCTGCAGTTCCATGACAGACACAGCATACATCAAGCAAGAGAGACTTTATGACCAACTTTACTGCTCACAGTGCAGATATGAAGAAAAAAATGTGGAGAAAATATGAGACCAATCTGTAAACCAATTGAAGTATAATGAAATATTTCTAATCCTGTAGTAAATTTAGTTGCTTGGCACCTCAAAATACATTCAATACTTGAGCTGAGAAAATGCAGTCACCATAACTTTAAACTGCTTGAATGGATTTTCAGAACCCTCTGTGACCTAATAAACAAATAAGGTGTGGTGGGAACCAAAGTGGAAAATCAGGATCTCAGCCACCACCTAATAGCGTGTTCTCTACAACGGGATACATTAAGCCGATCTCAACCAAAACACAGCAAAAAGTACAGGAGACTAACCCTGACTAAGACTAACTCTAATGTCTTGCCACAGAGTTACCAGAAATGAGGAGTCTTGTTTTTCCTGACCTCTGGGTGGGAAGGAGAGCCATTTCTTTCTCTCTGTTGAGTGCAACAAGATGTATATCTGTCCTGAATGCATCCTGCTTTAAACAACAAAAACTCTAACCAAGCAATGGCTTAAGCAGTTTAAGGGTTTTCCTTTCTTCGTGTAATAACATGTCCAGAGGCAGCCAGCCCAGGGTTCGCACAGCAGCTCCACAATGTCATTCAGGTACTAAGGCTTCTTGGACCCCTCTGGCCATTTTAGCAGAGGGCTTTTACCCTCACACTTGTTGCACTGTGGTTACAAGATAACTCTGTCCAAGCAGGAAAGGGAAAAGGAGACAGAAGGTAAAAAACTCTTGACAAGCGAGGCTGCCCCTGTAAAGAACCTTCCCAACCAGAGGCTTCCGTGTGTAGCTCATTGGCTAAAATCATGTCACATGACCACTTCTTGCCGCATGGGAGGCTGGAAATCTACTTCTATATCTGAGCATATTACTTCCTTTTGCTAAATAGTGAGCAAGAAAGAGGGGAAGGGATAATGGGCAAACAGCAATCACTGTCTACCACACCCTGGTACCCAGCACTCAGCCAGTCATTACCAAAAGCAGACAGTTCAGTTTGTGTGGGCCAACAGCCAGCCTCAAGCCTGTCTGACCAACTCCCGGCAAGTTCTCCTGATGGAATGCTGCAAAGTCTAGCACTTTGCAACTGTGCAGTGCAACAGTGTGGGCCCTCCAACTTGGAAAAAGTAGGAGGAAAAGAGAAAGTCCAAAGAATATTTCTATCAGCAATTGCAGATACTGTTATTTTCTACTCAGGAACCCCCACCCCTTTCCCTTGCTAATAGTTAATTCCCAATTTGACTTGGCAGCAGTGCACCAGGTTCTAAGTTAAATGTTGGTAAATTACAGCTACAGGTCAAATCCTCTCCACGGTTGTTTTTTTTTTTTTATGTTTGTGTATTTGCTTGCTTGTTTGTTTGTTTTGAGACAGGATGCCACTCTGTCGTCCAGGCTGGAGTGCAGTGGCACGATGACTGCTCACTTCACCCTCGACCTCCCGGGCTCAAGAGATCCCCTCAGCTCAGCCTACCAAGTATCTGAGATCACAGGTGTGCACCACTACCCATGGTTAATTTCTGTATTTTTTGTAGTGATAGGGTCTCACCATGTTGCCCAGGCTGGTCTTGAACTCCTGGGCTCAAGTGATTTGCCCACCTCAGCCGCTG